TGTTGTTTCCTTCTGGTGTCCTGCCTACCAAAGATCTCCTGTGAGTGTGATTTCATTGCCGCTATCACCGCGTTTCCCCAACAATCTGCTTTGCGCTCACTGGCTGTAAACTCCCGCAGTGATCCAGAAACTAAGCTTTCTGCGCACATTTGTTTTACAGCTTATTGTGTATGCAAACTCTCAGGCAGATTCACTCCAACTTCCAAGGAAATGTCCCTAATTAGTTGACTATGACATGATATGTTATGGGGGTGGGGGCATGGTTCTACTCCCCCCTCCCTCCCCCTAAAGACAAGGCCATATATCAATTGCTGCTATAAAAGACAACTTCATTATTTAAGCTTTTTTTTAAAGAAATATTTGTCTCGATTTTTTCGATATGAACTGTGACGCACTGCGGTAGAGGAAGGTAACATTGAGATATGAACTGTGACGCACTGCCGTAGAGGAAGGTAACATTGAGATATGAACTGTGACGCACTGTGGTAGAGGAAGGTAACATTGAGATATGAACTGTGACGCACTGTGGTAGAGGAAGGTAACATTGAGATATGAACTGTGACGCACTGCGGTAGAGGAAGCTAACATTGAGCTGAGCAATGAAGAGCTACATGAGTTAAGAGCTGAACAGGAAATTGTCAGAAATGATAAAGAGCAAATATCTTTTAAAAAAAAAAAACTAAGACAGCAAGATAAATCCTAAACATCTTGCAGCACACGGGTGAAATATAAGAATAAGTGACAGAACGGCACCAAAACCAAGCTGCTGTGTCCGGAGCCACCAATGTCTTCAACTCTAATGTCAGTAATCATTTAAGGCGGGTGTTAAAGAAACCACAGATGCAGATAAAGCTTGAAAAGTTGTTAAAACCTTCGTGGAGAAAAAAAAAAAACCCCCAGAAGGAAGCCACTGAAGATAACTGACGACAGGTCATTGCAATTTACTGGAAGTTGACTTTCACACATGTATATCATGTAAAACCAAATACTTGATTTAACATTTAAAATGGTAAACAAAACGCATCCCTAGGAAGGGTCTGGATCCCTTTCCTAATTTAGGTGATATGTCTTTTTAATTTTGTGTGGAGAACAAATAAAAATTACTTATAAACATATATTAACTGGCGCCCGCACAGAAAATAAAGGAAATGAAATGGTATGATAAAATCTCTCATGTTGATCTGTGGAAGTTAACTAAACAAGTTGCAAGAGGCGGACCAAGAGGCGAAGACAAGACGCTGGCGTTAGGACTCATGCTGAGAACAATATAACTACAGCTCTGCACAAGAATGCACAGCAACAAAGAAATGAAGGCAGATATGGAGAAGGAAGCTTAAGTGTCAAGTTATCAGATAAGACAGGACATGAAGCAAGCTGCATGCCATGGCGAAGGATCCAACAGCTTGGCATGAACTGGCTGTGGGCCTTAGCGCCATTCTGGTAGAAGGCAGAAATAGTAGTAGTATTTTATTTGTATGATTTTAAAAATTGTAAATTAAAAGAACGGATCAACAGATTTCCGGTAAGATGTAATTAGGAAACTGGGTTTCGAGATATAAACTTTCCAAAATACGAACCAGTCGGGAACGAATTAGGTTCATAAGTCGAGGTACCACTGTTTTTGGGGTAGAGCTTATATAAGATGCTTCCTGGAAAACAATGCTAGGAGTTTCTGGAAAGCGGGATAAAGGTCTTTTTTTTTAAACAGGGCACCATGGTTGACAAAGACTAGTCTAATTAGTAGGGGGAAGGGAGAGGGGGTGTGTGTGTGTGCGACGTGAGGGCTTAGGGAGATGATAGTTGGGAAGTGGCTGAACACACAACAGAAGTGGACCAACAGTGTTCGCTGGAGTTGACACAGCCAGTACACACTAGGAAGAAAAATAACAACCTGTGCCCCAATGGTTAGAGTACCTTCCCTTTTGTTACTGTAGTGTATTTTGTCCACGTTTTTCTGCTTTCACATTACATTAAACGTTTCTGTCACAGTTCACTGGATTACTTTTTTTTAAAATATAAATGACAGTGAAAGGTTGTCAAAAAAATAACAAAATTTGCTGTATAATTGATAAACATCCCCTTTATAACCAGCTACAACATCAATATATGTATCAACAAGACAACCTGGCAAACAACACAAAAGCATGACCTGATTAAAAAAAAAAAAAAAAAATCTATAAACTTGAACAGCGTGATGACAATTATCATCAAAAACAATGCCGACCGGTATGGGCGACCATGCCTTTCCACAACTTGCGATCTGCAATGGCGTTTGTCATGTGTTGACACCCCTTTATGCTACGACACAAGTCTGTCAAGAATCCTCCTGCGGTTTCAAATGTCGTCTCTGTCTGTCTTTCTCTATATTTCCCAGCAAAAAATGTTCTTATTTCCCTATTGTCATCACATGGCACACGCATAGAAAGATTTGACTGCTGAGAAGCCAAGTCACTTGCCACTGGCTGCAGATATGTAAAGTTTATCACTCTGTGAGGACAATGGGACTATTTCAGAAATGTCCGCGTGTATTTAGTCATATGTAGTCATAAAGCTGTATCAATGATAAGACAACAGTTGCAAACACACCACTGCTGTCACTATGTCCCCGTAGGACTGCCTAGAAACTGTTATTTAGTAAACTGATGTGTTGGTTTTCCCTGGCCTCCAGCTATTTTATAAATCAAGTCTTTGACATCCTTACCGCATTCACCCAGCCCACCAGACATGTCTAAAAGTGGACAAACAACATAATCTCTATGCTAGAGTTACAGCTGTTGAACGCTTAAGGAAAAAAGATAACAGTTCTTTGGCCACCAAATAGGAAGGAGAGCACCAGCCAATATTGTACATTTTCGTAATATTTCCGTAGCGCTGTCTAAAAGCATTCCACCAGATACACTCACAAGGCTGCGTAATAAAGGCCAGTTTTGCCAAACAGTCACCATGCAGTGCCATCAGATTATTTTTTAACTGGAATAACCGAGAACCAATGCCATCAGATTATTTTTTAACTGGAATAACCGAGAATCAAACACTTCTGAGGCGCCACCGTCATCCCCACAACATTGTAACAGAGTTAATTCTAGACTGAATGACTCTGTGACAAAAACAATATCACAAAAGCCTCTGAGGCGCCATCTTCATTGCCACATTTCAGTAGAATTCTAGATTTAATGACTCTGACACATGAAAAAGGAGCCCTTAGCCCGTCAAATGGTGTTTAAAAAAAAAAATTCTGCAGCATTTGGCGCTCTTTCACTGGATAGAAACCACTGCTAGAGACAGGCTAGTGATGTCCTGCAAATCTGTTTATTTTGTCTCTGACATATTTGTTAGCTTTATGTTCTATAACTCATTTCTAAAATCCATATTTTGCATTTATATTTGAAAAAGGAGTTCTGTGCCGATAATCCATCAAACATTGCAGTGGGCAAATGGCTTGCCTATCTCCTCTTAGAGAATAAAAATCACACACAAAATATTGCATTATAAAATTAGGGATTATATCACAGACCCTGTACATTTAGTCTTATGTCGTGTGGGCCTCTGTGTGTGTGTGTGTGTGTGTGTGTGTGCGGGGTGGGTTTAGACCCAATCTCTCCCACATGTTGTAAAAGTCTACAAATTAGGGGTGTTTTCTTCAAAGTTAAAGTGCACCTGTCAGACAGACAAGAAACCAAAAGTGTGCTTGTTTTTCTCCTTCAAAAGTCAGACATGTAAAACAGACATGCACGCAAAACTCAAGGTCTCGAATCTGACCAAAGTCCAACAGTAGACAAACGACGAGAACTCTCCATCAGAGTTTACAGCCGTGAAGGCTAACAAAAAGAAAACATTTCTGTGAGGCACCACATGGCAGGCAGCGTATGAACCAATATTTGACATTTTCGTCATATTTCCGCAGCACTGTCTATCTAGGCCTCCTACCCTCCAGGGTCAGTACTAAAGGCCAGTTTTGCTAAACAGCCACCATGCAGTGCAATCAGATTATTGTTCGCTGAAACTACAGCCAGTCTAAATAAGGCCTTACAGCACTACGGGAATTCCCATTTTTGAGAAGCTAGCATCTTCACTGTTACCCAGTAGATTTATACACAAATTAACACCAGTTTAATTAATTTGCAACATGTGTTATTGAATGAATTACAATTTTGAAGATAAGTGGGATATTGGAAGAAAAAAAAAAGCGCCCACTTAATTGCAAATTATTTAATTTATGTATAAATCTACTTGGTAACAAAGGTGAGAATTGACCAGCCTCCAAAAAACGGGAATTCCCTTTGAGCTGTACGACTTTATCGGGAGCAAGCTGACTGAAACCTAACTGAGGATCAAACACACTTTTACAAACACAATGCATTTATTAAGAATCGATAAAGACCAGAGACATCTGTTTACAAACGAAACTGCCCATCTCGAGGGGGCTTGAACCCATCTCCTTCACATGGTTTATGAGGCTACAGTGCGCCAGCCATGGCCTACCTCCTCTATTTTTAGCAGGGACTCGATCGACTAGTTCGTCCTCCACAGGATGTCACCTACAGGTTTATTTACCCCTCCACTCTTGAACTTTTAAAATCTTAGTCTGGACGGCGGACCCCATACAGCCAGCTCTACCTCCTGATATGTAACCAGGCTGCCCGTAATGGTTCTACCAACCAGGTGTAACACTCAGTACTATTGGGGTCACGATGATGAGCAGGGGCTCTACTGGGAGTGAAGTCTACCCAGTTCGTCAACAACCAGGAAACGTTGACTTTCTTGTCATATATTACAATTAAAAATAAAAATCAATATTAAAAAAAAAAAAACATGGCTATAATGACAGTGTAAAGAATAACAAAGCTTAAGTGTGAGTAAACAAATGTCACTGCAGGTACAAACAAGGTGAAAACGAAGGAGAACAACATTATGCATACACATGGAATGAGTCTACTGTGGTTCCTTGAAGAATCTGTTTCGGGGAAAGTCATTTATGCCGACAAGGATAACACAGAAATTTATTTTTTTCTCTTTGAATCTTTGTCCGATCCTGGGGATTCCGACCTTTTCCGCTTCTGGCCCGGTGAAGGTTCACTGGATTCATCATGACTGTCGTCATCGTTAGCAGTTTCTTTGGTGACCTCGTCGTCTTTGGCACAGTCTGATGCATCTTCAGCTAGGTCTTCATCAATTTTCTCCACTACTGGTGCCGGTGTGTCTACTGGTGCCGGTGTATCAACTGGTTCAGGGTTTATCTTGGCTCTCCCTATCTTGCTGGCAGGCCCGATTCTCGGCCTCTTCCCTGCTGTAGATACCGCTGGCTTTGGTGATGTTTTACCTTCAGAGCCGTCCTCGTCACCATCATCATCTGAAATTTCAAGAACATCAGTGTCTTTGAAAGGATAAGGACGCTTTGTCCAGCGCTCGATTGTATTTCTGCCGAGCTTGCTGACCCGGATGCTAAACTTTTGTAAGTGTTTGTCTCTCAAATGTTTCACATAGTAAGCGGGGTGGAATCCCGTCTCCCCACACATGGCACAGTCCCGGGTGCCGCTAGGGGAGGACAGGCACGTGTGCTTCATCAAGGAGGCCTTATCAATCACCACCATACCGCACTTCATGCATGTGTGATGCATGCGCATGCAGTGTCTGGTCAGGTCAACATTACGTCCAAAGTTCAGATTACACAAGACACACACGCTCCCCTTGACCAAATTGTTGTTTCCTGGCTTTTTGCTGGTCGGCGCTGGCTTCTGAGCAGCTGGTTGTGGTGCAGTACCACCACTTGGTGCTGATTTTAAAGTTCCGGTCAGCGGATCAATGTGGCCGTGAACTTTCAGTATATGCTGCTCGCACTCTTGAGGTGAACTGAAGTGGTTCCCGCAGAACATGCACATGAGGGCTGTGATGTAGTGCTGCATCTCCCGGTTGTGGACCACCCGCATGTGCAGCAACAGGTTCAGCACGTGATGTCCACAGGATATGCATTTGCCCACAACACCCCTCGTCTGGTTTTCTTCCTTGTGAGTATCTATGTGTTTGCGGAGGCCGTGTGCTGTCCAGAATCGGACGTAACATGTGGCGCAGTAAAGCGGAGCATGGGTGCGGTCAAACAGGTTGAACGGTAGGTCTATGCGGTGAGCGTAGAAGAAATGTATACGCAGGGCCTTTCTATCTTTAACGTAGCCACCGCATATTTCACAGACTTCAAAGCCACCAGCAGCCGGGACGCTGCCTGCTACACCAGCGCCAGGAGGGGTAGCTGCAGGGCTTTGTTTGGCATTCAACATGGTAGCCACCGTAGGACAAGGCTTTGCATTTGAAGCATTGTAGCGAACAGCCGGCGACTGTGTTGGCAGTCTTGGTGTAGCAGGCATTCTAGGAGCAGCAGGCATTCTTGGAGCAGCGGGCATTCTTGGTGGAGCAGGCATTCTTCCACCAGACGGAGCATTGGCACGTGGAGATGGTGTGGCAGGCAGCCTTTTCTGCAAATGCTGCTGTTTCTTGGCAGCCACAGCTGCTGCATTCTTCTGAGCTGCCAAGGCTTGTATTTGAGCCTGCTGTCTTCTGGCCTCCGCCAGGGCTGCCTGCTGCTGGGCATGCTTTTGCTGCAGCAGCTTCAAGTTCTTTGGAACAATTGGCTTATAGAATATGTTCTCCAAGCACAGGTTGATCTCAGCTCCAGAAAGGCAACTGGGATGAAGGTTAAACAAGGGTCGAAACTGCTTGATGCATCGTTGTTTGTGAAGTACCAGCTTCTGCTCCTGATTATTCTCATATGGACACAGATCACACTCATAAAAGGCTTTCTTGTCATGAAGCTTAGCCTGTACGCCATGCTCCGCTTCCATATGGAACTTAAAGGCCATTGCTTGTTTTGTGGTAAACTGACAATGGGCACACCTCAAAGACTTGTTATCTTCGTGTGGATATTGCTTATGAAAATACATTACATTGTTTGATTCCGTCTGAAAGTTGCAAACCTTACACTTCTGTCGTAACTTGAGTTTCAAATGTCCAATGGTCGCAAACAAATCCTTTTCAATTTCTTTGAGTTTCTGAAGGTCTTCTTTCTCTTTCGCATTCAGTTTATTGTCACCATTTTTCTTCGACTGAATTTTCACAAGGTCGTGGTAGACGGCTTCTTTGATCAAGTCAGAGCCGATATCAAAAAGAAACTTGGCTAGAGGTCCAAGATCAGATGACGGATTCGGCTTAAAATACTTGGGACGGGTGTTAATCCGATTTTGAATCTCCCATCGGATGAGTTCAATCTGATCCAGACTGGATTTAGGTTTTGGTGGGGCAACTGTGGGGACGTGCATTGGTGGGTTGGGACCATGATGAGCCCCAGGACTTCCCGTAGACAAGGGGAAACTACCGGGTAAAGAGGACATCCCATGGGCTGGAAAACCTGGCATCAGTCCATGCATCATCGAAGTTGACAGTGGCAAACCTTGACCTGGGGATGATAAAGTCTGGTTCAAACCAGATGTGCCTGCTCCAGATCCTGACATACCAAAATTAAGAGCATTTTTAAAGCCGCTAGCCCGGGCAGCCTTAGGTTCCGCAACAATTCCTGGGTCATCACGTGGCTGGGTATTCTTTCCGTTTTCTTTGAATCCTTTATCCTGTTTTGTTGCACTGCTCTTCTGGATTCTAGCTGCAGCCACAGCCGCCTCTGAAGGAACTGCAGCTTCAACATTCTTCTTTTTCTTATTTTTGCTGCGTAAATTTTTACTGTTTGTCACCTTCTCTTTGTCTTTATCTACTGACCCTTCCTCTTCTTTGTTAATATTTTCATCATCTTTTCCTCCACTCAAGCTCTCTTTGCTCACACTATTTGTATCTTCTTCTTGATTCACATCTACCTCAGTTTTTATAGTTATCGGCTGTTGTGTATCCTCTTTAAGGCTATCATCATCATCATGTTTTGTTAGTTTTTTATCAGCTGCCCCAACCTCATCTAAACATGTATTCTTGCTAGAAATGCCAGCAACTGTACCTGGACTCAACTCAGCCTTGATGTCCTTTTCAGACTCGAACCAGCGCTGAATATTAGGAGGGGCACCTCCAGAATCTTCTTCACCATCACAATTCCCGGGAGGCCCTTTACTGCCCATCTTTGCATCCTCTTTCAAATTAGGTTTGTCTTTATGTACATCATCCTTACCATTTGACGGGAGCACTGACTTTTTTCCTTTAGACTTTTTACCAACATCATCTCCCAAAACATCATCATATGACTTTTGAGCCATTTGTTCTTCCTTCCGCTCATCACACACATCAGCTCCTTCCCCGGACACATCTGAATCATTGCCAGAAGCCACATCAGCTTCATCGGCAGTAGCCACATCACCTCCTTCACCAGACATGTCTGAATCATTGGCAGCGACCGCACCATTGCATGTCATTCCATTCTCTAAAACATTTCCCAAAGACTTCTTTTCCCGCGACATTTTTGGGGAATCTCGTTCATTTGTCCCATTACTTAAGAATTTCATTTTGTGTGCTGATGCTGTCAGACTGCTTTCATCAGTCTCCATTTCAACATCGTTACTTGCAGATTCGGAGTCCATCTGAAATAGAAGAACATAACTGAATCAACGACTAGCAAAAACCTTTTAATCATGGCTGTTTGCAGACAATGAACCAACTGATTCATCCTTTCCTTCTAAGATCCTGACAAGCGAGTTTGTTCTGATGGGGTATGAGAAGACAACACACAATCAGTCATTAACCCCCCCCCTCCCCCCTCCTCCTCCCCATTTCCATTTTAGACATTTCAACAATTTGGCCCCAGAAAACTTTTGGAAAGATCTCAGAACCCTTTAATTCGAGCAGAAATTCTCATACTTTTTTCTTTAATAAATTTTAAACAGGTCACTAATGTTTTTTTTTTCCGAAAATTAATTTATATACATGAAACAAGTTTGTAAGGAATATATAAAAAACAGTAACCAATAAATACAAACGGAGTGAAAGAATTAAATGGTAAATATTTCTCTGTACCTAAAAACACGCTGGGTGAGTATGCAAACAGAACCCAACAACCTGTTAAGAAGGTAGGTCTGTCAGGGAACTGGTGAATGCAGAATGCCGGTTTAATGGCATCTACAGGGGAAAGCCTATTCTCTAGAGCCACTGTGGTGTCAACATTCCCTGTAATCCCAGCGATTGAGGTCATAAAGGTCACAGAATAAGCAACCCAAAATACGTGTTTTCAGGCTCTGGGGAATGCATTCCATGAAATGCTTCACTGAGTTCATGTTTTCTAATTTTCCTCTATATATTTATTGATTTCAGGTGGAAAAAAATATGAAATGTACATACATTTTTATAGCTACAAATAGGCTTGTTAAAAATGGTTTGTCTTCTTAAACAGAATTTTTTTAAGCAGTTGCACAATAATGCTAATTGATGTGTTAAGTCCTGATACAGTAGTTTCCCTGTGTGGGTTCTGTGCCTCATTCGGGTGGGGAGGGTGGGTTTGTTTAAATCTGATGTGTCTGGTCGAGGGTGCAAAAATCATAGCCTAGCAGTTAACAACACATTGTGCCAACTATCTTCTATTTATCAGGTGAGCGCAGAGAAAGAAGTCACTGTAAAAAGGGAAGTAAAAACTTGACTTCTGGATTTCAGTCTTCTTCCAGAACATTGGTTTTGCATGCACAGCTGTTTCTGGTTTATCTGTATACAGACTGTTGGTTGCTGGCCTCTCCGGCAGATGCACTTTGATGGAAACACTAATTAGCTTTTATAAGGCCTGAGCAGGTTTTCTCTATTATTCAGTGTATTGTAAGTACAGTTACAATCACAGCAATTAGTACCAACATAAATTCACTTGAGCCCAACACACCTGGGAGGAAGGAAGAGGAGGCCGGCGTAAATATGTCAGGACTACACAACAAGACAGACAACTTAGCAGTGACAGGAATAAGGATGAGATCTCAGGGGCAAATGACAGATACTCCTGGAAGAAAACTAAAAGATGACATACAAGGAGCACAGCCAATTACCAATAGCACAACCACACGCAGAAAATTAAAAGATGACATACAAGGAGCACAGCCAATTACCAATAGCACAATCACACGCAGAAAATTAAAAGATGACATACACGGAGCACAGCCAATTACCAATAGCACAATCACACGCAGAAAATTAAAAGATGACATACAAGGAGCACAGCCAATTACCAATAGCACAATCACACGCAGAAAATTAAAAGATGACATACAAGGAGCACAGCCAATTACCAATAGCACAATCACACGCAGAAAATTAAAAGATGACATACAAGGAGCATAGCCCATTACCAATAGCACAATCACACGCAGAAAACTAAAAGATGACATACAAGGAGCATAGCCCATTAGCAATAGCACAATCACACGCAGAAAATTAAAAGATGACATACACGGAGCACAGCCCATTACCAATAGCACAATCACACGCAGAAAACTAAAATAAACATAAAAAGGGGGAACTAGACAATGCAAAAATGGGGCACCCAGACAAAATATTTAAAGTGATAACATGATACATACATCACATAAAGGCAGGGACAATCAACCACAACTTTTGGCAGAATAAACCATTTCAGCCACTGAACAGGACAAATAAAACCAGACCACAATTAAAACTGAAGCTGTTTTCAGCAAGACTGAACGTGGTCAGTTATTCTGTACTATTTCCAGTGCTAGATGATTTGACAGCAAAAACACACAACCAAGCAGAATAATCACCGCATGAAAGTTATCAGTGTGTCACTTTTACAGGCAGCATACACTGTGCTGCACAGTAACATTATGCACTGCCCTGGAACAAGATTTATCTTACACCAGAAGTAGCGTGACGTCTAATAAAGTTTCAGTAAAGAGTGTACTAACATTTTCCTGACTTTTGCACATGTTTAATAAAAATTTGCGATTACTAATAATAGATCGCAAAATAAGCAGAATCGTCAATAAAATGTTTTCTCTGCACGCTAGATAGACATAAAGCACGTAAAATATCCGCATGAAGCAGATCAGCAGAGATACTGTGCTTGTGTCATGTGACTTTGTTAGCCTTCAACAAGGTAAATATACCTATAAATAACTTTGTCCCCAGCTTGCCAACACTCAAGTCCAGTAAAATTAGGTTTGGCATTCATTTTAACTTATACTTTGAAAGTTGTGTCTGGATTCAATATTTATTCTAGTATTTATGTCTACTTTGTCATCCTGTTAAACGTGGGGGCCTGTTTTTATTTAACAACTTTATGTGGGAAATTATATATGGCAAGAAAGGGGCTGCAATTATGGCGATTAGCTATAAATAATGACCATTTTTAGTTATTTAAAAATTTTAAACCCGGTTTACTTACAATAACTGCACAATTGAAGTAGACATCTACTGCAGTTGAGATTTGTGTGTGTGGGGACACAGAATGTACGTTAATGAACAAAGGACACTGCAATGATAAGTCACCAACCAACAATAAAGGGAGACAAACACAGAAGCCCGAGAAGGGAAGTAACTACTTAAGTGTCTTAAAGATACTAATTAGTTTCAAAACTGTGTACAAATAAAAAAAAAAACTAAATAGCATTTTAAAAATCAAACTAGTTAAGTTGTAAAATTACTTAGCTGATTAGCCTGTTCATTTAGTCGACGTTTTAAAACTGTTTTCCCTAGCTTTACTACTTTTTTTATTAACATTTCAGCAACAAATGTTGGCACCCTTCCGAATACTGGTCCCGAATTATTCACTGCTGGAAAACATTTAGAACAAAAGCCCCAAGAAGTCATATAGTTAAAATTATAGATTAAATACGTTATTTAATAATTTTATGTGAACCAAACCCTCGAGTCTTCAGTAGTACAGTTGTAAGTACTCCGCCTGTTACAAGGTTGACCGGTGTTCAATTCCATGCCGGGTGATTTTATTTAGCCCACGAAGGGTGGTTGGCACGTTGTGTTGTGGTTTACAGCTAGGCTGCGATATTTATGCCTTTCATTGAGTCTTGTGGTTTACAGCTAGGCTGTGATAGCGGAGGCAAGATGCTCAATGGTCATGACATCATCATGTGCCCTGCCAACTGGCGTGGGCGCTCATGCGTCTCCACAGATCACAATCCCTGGTTGCATGGAACAGCTCTCTTGATGATATCCCTCTATGCCATCGTTTCAGCCCATCCAGTATTATCTCTCTTGGTCTGCCTCTACCCCCTTTTCCACTGATCTTTCCAGTTGTCAAGATGTTCTCCAATGTCCCTTCAGAAAGTACCTAGAGAATTTGAGAAATGCCATCCTGGTCTCAAATTTGATGAAAGGGAAAATCCCTAACTGCACCTCCAAGTGGTGGATGGTGGAAAACGCACCATTGTTTGGATAACACAGATATCCCCCGAGAATAATCGGATCACTTCACAGCTGGGCACCCACTTGTCCTGACAGTCAGAAATTACTGTCAAAGATGCAGGTTAAAATACCCCATGTGGATGTGGAAGGCAACGGGGGGGCACCTTTGTTTGGATAACACAGATATCCCCCGAGAATAATCGGATCACTTCACAGCTGGGCACCCACTTGTCCTGACAGTCAGAAATTACTGTCAAAGATGCAGGTTAAAATACCCCATGTGGATGTGGAAGGCAACGGGAAACCACAACATTATTTTCCGAAAGAAAACTTATAAGAATGGCCATGTCAAGGGTAAGTAATCTTTCTTTTTGTGCGCCCTTGAAAGGGTGGTTGAAAAGATGTGTTGTGGTTTACAGCTAAATTGTGATATCTGCGCCTTTCACCCCAACATATCTGATTTCAGCAAAGTACTAATAAGTCGCCTTTTACATGCTTTTAGGTGGCAGTGGATCTATTCTTCTCTTTTCTCAAATATGTAGCCCTGGAACCCACAAGGCAAGACACGGATAATGTGAACAATGGATTAAAAACTATTCCTCCCCACATGTTAAAACGATGGATCAAAATCTATTCCTCCCCAAGACACTTCAATGGATCAAAAACTATTCCTTCCCAGGGCACTTAGCTCAACGTCTAAACATTGCTATCCATTGAGCAATAACGGCAGAAGTGGAAACTGGATGATGATGGCCTAAATATTTTCACAGCATAACCTCGTGAGGCTTTCACAAAGGGATGTGTTTCACAGTAAATAATTTGGGATGGGTATTTGGAAGAGTGCCCAAATGTCAGAATATATATATATATATATTTTTAAATCCACGCTGCTAATTGCCAGTGGCCCTAACATAAGTCAAAGTCAACCTGGGTTGAACCGGGTTTCCTGGTCCCTGTCCCTGGGTGATTCTCATCCGCACGGTGGCACTTTAGGTCAGTGAGTGTTTATCGCTTGGCGGATGTCCTAGTGAGACTGAATCTCACTCACTTTAACAACTCACACAAGCCTGTTTATAAAATACAGGTCCAGCCTTATATGCTATATTCTACTATATTACTTTAATATTTCTTTAGCAGTCAGACCAAACATGGAAAATGTACAACACACACAGGTACTCATAGGTTAATAACCTGGTTGGCATAGATTTAAAGAAAGAGTTAAATGAAAAGA